TTCCAGCTGGGACATCATAATATCCAAATACTATTTAAGGTTTCTTTTTTTAAACTTAAATCAAATATTCCTCATTAGAATAAACTAAAAATAGGAGTAAGTCCAAATATTAATGTATTATGGTGATTAACAAGACAAATTAAGAGATGTCTGTGGAAATGCTCATGATATCAGGATGATTCAGGAACCAAAATGTAGCTTAAAAAGAGTGAATCTGAAAATGTACTGTGGACATTGACCAGATTTGACTAAATCCTCAGTTCAGTGTAATTGGTTGGATATTTTGAATTTTCCTTTGAGATCAATAAAATACCTATCAATCTATCTATATAAAATAATGATGAATTAAAAAGTTTAATAGCAGTAGTCCACTTTGGACCTGGTCTTGTTCAGATTACTCAAAATTAAACCTACTTAATACAAACTGAGGTCCTTCAAAGTACAGGTAAGATGTTCATTACTTTTCCACAGAAACCGTCTTCAAAAACTAGTTCTTTACAAACCCTTAATGACAGAACAGAGAATAACAAATAAATTTGAGGTTAATTATATGCAACAATAACATTTGTCGTTATGGGCTGGCAGCACATTTTACACATTTCTGGCAATTAGTTGTGAGCATGAGTTAAAACACTTTTAAAGATTGCTGTAACTTTCAGCACACACAGAATAAGCAGCGTTCATCATGAAAACAACACAATGTACAGAAGAAAAAGAGGTAGAAAGGACTTTTGTTGCCAGGATCTAAATAGTTTTCAGCTCAACACGATCATCGTCCGAATGAGCAGAAGAGATGCAGAAAAGCATGGAGTCAACAGATTTRCAGTGAGTCTGTGTTGTGCTCGGTGGAAACACTGTGCTTTGCTGGGGAAAAAAATAAAAATGTCTATAGAGATTGTCTTCTGTGCAGTTCAGAGGGGCRGAGGGGGACGTTACAAATCAGTGTGCTGTTGGTGAGCTGAGCTGGTGTGAGCTGGTTCACACCTTCATTTTACAGTTAATCCATACTCTTCACACRACGGAGTCAACAATTATACCAAAACTTTTACAATTTGTCCATGTAGGGTATGGAGTGGATGTCTTTACAATGGCTGCCCAAGGCTTCTTATTGTGGAGAGAAAAATATAATTCAAAATGTCATATCTAGTTCAACCACACGAGGGCGCTCATGTGCCGTGGACCGAGTTTCTCTTGCGAAAACTGTGTTTTTTCTGAAGGCAATTTCTTGTCACATCCAGTGAGGTTTTTTATTATTTTTTTATCAGTTTGTGCAAAAC